TCATGCTTTCTCTCAACGTGTGGGAGAAGGGAGCGCATGAACACTCCCACTTGACTGCTATTAAGTGGTAGATGGAAACATTTTAATTTAAGTCATAATTCTGATTTTTGATCCACGTTGCTTGGGGAAAATTGTAACAGGGATTAGGAAGTGAATGGCAGAACGAGGGTCAATATAATGAGGTAGCTTCGTTGTCTTTAAAAAAAAGCTATTATTAGAAATGCCCAGGATCTTCTCTTGTATATATTTTCTCCAAGCAGTTTCTGCAGATAGATATTCACTCTCTAGAGGAATAGTTGATGGGCTGCTGACATACTTCCATTTCTTGGGCAGAATCTGATAAATGTGAATATATCCACATTCACATTCCTCAACGGAAAACAGCCCTAGGGAAGAGAAGAAATACTGTAGTTACATTTGTATTTCTAAGTGGATCTGAACAAGAGTTCCAGATTTTTGAAGTGAAATTCACTCTCTTCAGACTGAAACAGTTGTGCTTTAAAAGCCCTGTCAAATCAATCAAACTACTGCAGCATAAGGTCATCATTAGGAAAACCAGCAAAGAGGCAGGATTAATAGATGGAGTTGAAAGAACTAGAAGATCATAAGGTTAGAAGTGGGCAGATAGGAAGCAGGGATGTTGACAAGTCCTCGGGTTTGAGTCCGAAGTCCAAGGCTTTGGTGCCAAGTCTGGAGTCCCAAGCTCCAAGTCTGAGTCCCTATTAAAAACAAGACTTTTTCCTCAGGGGGAAAAAAGGAGATCTGGGTGAGTTACAAGTCAGAGTGGAGTCCGAGTAACTGCAAAAGGAAACCCCAAATCAAGTCTGACTTGAGTCACTGGTGTGACTTACGTCCAACTTGATAGCAAGCCCTACGATTCAAGTCCTCACTCCTGACAGATAGGGTTTAGAGACTGTTTCTAAGAGCCTTCTCCACCAATCCCATTTTGTTGTGGCACCCAGAGATGAAGAGAAGGTTAGTGTCTTGGTAGGTTGTTATTTATTTGTATAATGCAACTGGAAACAGATTTAAGTACAGAGAGGAAAAAAAAGAATGTGAAACACTCCTCTACACACTGATTAAAGGTACAGGAGCTCCGCAGTCCGTTTTGTATGGCCACGCTACATTAGTGAAGACCCACAACTCCGGTGCTGCAGTGGAGGAAGTGGGAGATCCACTCCACATTTTTATCTGAACCTTTAAAGTGGTATCTAAAATGCTAAACTTATTTTGGGGGTAGGGTTCAGAACCTTAGACAGCTTGTATAAAGTTCAATCTAAAACCAGGACTGGATGCATTGGCCCTATGGCATCGGAGTCATCAGCCATTGTACATATAAACCCATTGCTTTCAATGCTATATGCCATGCACTGGAAGAAGAACACTGCTAAAATAAATTTTAGTCTTTAGAAAATCCTGGAAAGGGTTGCCATCAGTCAGAATCAAAACGACAGCATGTAATTATTATTTATGGTGTCAGATGTGTATTATGTTTATCTTTCCAATTATACCGTTTATATTCACTATGGACTTAAGAGTGATTGATATGAGAATCATTATTTGAGTCAGTGCATTGTGTGGATCTAGATTTCTGTGCTTCTGCCACAATGATGATGATGATGATGATAATAATAATAATAATGATGATGATGATGATGATGATGATGATGATGATGATGATGATGATGATGATGATGATGATGATGATCTACCATCAAGTCAATTCTGACTTAGGGTGAACTTTTCAGGGTTTTCCAGATAGAGAACATTAAGAAGTGGCATGCCATGTCTTTATTCTGGGGATGCCCTGGGACTGGGCAGCTTGCCGAAGGCCACAAAGGCTGGCTCTACTCCCAGGAAGCACAGTGGGGAATTGAACTCCCAGTCTCTGGCTTCACAGGCAGATACCTCAACCACTGAGCTATCCAGACATATATGGAATGCTTGATGCAAAAATTCTGTCGCATCTTGATATGAATAACCAAGGGCTGAGCTAAGGCCAGATGTTTCTTGTTTTTCTGGCTAAACGACTTACAGGAACCTGGAATTTAAGGTACAATTTGCTGTTGCAATCAAAGTGTACTTTTAAGTTTGTAATACCATTTCAAAAAGAGGGATTATACTGTTGCCTCAAGGAGAATGTTTCTTCTATATAGGGTAATGAAATTATGGGCTGAGATCTGAGAAACTGTAGAAAACAACAGCAAAAGGAATGTTGTCCATCATAAAATTTGCTCTTGGTAAAGCAGAAGAAGATGCTATTGAGACAGACGGGTCTCGCCTTTCGAAATCTGACCTAATTTTAAAGTGCTAGAAGACCAGTCATTTGATTTCCATTCCACTAGGATTGGGCCTAGTTCAGAATACATGAGCACATTATATGTGAGGCAAATCATGGCATTTTATGGCATCACAAATGACAGATCAGGACGGTAATAAATCAAGCTAAGGATAAATGTTAGTGCATATGCCACCATATTTGTAAGCCATTAGCTGAGAGGGCAGACATCCTGACAAATTCATTACACCTATGGGTTACAGTTGGGATTTTTGATGAAGTGGAGGACCGATTATGATTTTCTAATGATGATGGCTACCATACTCTCTTTCTCTAATTACTTTAACTAGAGCAGAGCCATTTTCTCTCAAAATGCATCTCGAAAAATCATCACATTGCATTATTCCGAATCACGAGTCCAGTCCGACTCATTGAAAAAAAACCCAAGTTGTGTCTGAGTCGAGTCACTGGTGTGACTTAAGTCCGACTTAACAGCTAGTCTCGTGACTCAAGTCCTCATCCCTGGTATATAGCATGATTAGACTGTCTTTCCTAAGGGGTGTTAAGGGCTTTGACATAAACTCTCCCTCAAAATTTCTTCCGCTGGTATATCAGATAATAACATTTAAAATAATATGGATCTCTACTTGTTCCTAATTGCGCTGAGAACAATGGTGGGAAGCAATGATGGGAAGTAACTTAGCAGACAAATGTCAGTTAAATCACCCTTCAGTTAACTTTGGCTATAGAGAGAATGATTCATGGTGCCAGTGACTTTTAAGAACAATTGTAACGAAGAGTTCTGTGACATTTTGAATATTTTATAGAAACAGAAGGGCAAGGCTAGAGGCAAACAATGGGGAATGGCTGCTTCTCTTTGCTTGCGCGGTTCCCAAAGGCCTCCGGTTTACCACTTTTGAAAGGAAGAGTGCTAAATAATGAGATGGGCTATAACTCAGTGATAGTGTGTAAGGAATGTTATAGGGAAGGTCTAGGACAGTGATGGCGAACCTACGGCACGCGTGCCACAGCTGGCACATGAAGCCCTTTCTTCCGGCATGCGACAAACCTTTTGAAGTGGCTGCAGCTGGGATTCCCCCTTCCTCTTCCTGTTCTGGGTCCTTTAACTTCCTGTCCATCCCCATGACTCCCCCTAAAACTTCCTGTCCTTCCACATGATTCCCCCTGAAACTGCCACTTCCTATTCCGGTTCTGGTCTAGTGGGCGGCACGGCAGCCACTGGTTTCTTCCCCACCCATCCCCTCATTTTGGGCACTCGAGCCGAAAAAGGTTTGCCTCCACTGGTCTAGGAAAAGGTCAGCCCTAGAGGCCTAGCTCTGTCAAGGTTGAGCTGCAAGAGTTTGGTTTGGCTAATCTGGCACCAAGCTCAGGTGGAGCAGCACTGGATAACACATGAGGGAGAGGACCATAGCTTCAACAGTAGGGTACATGCTTTGCATGCATAATCTGTGCCATTCCCTTTTTTAAAAGAGCTTCTCAGAAAGACCTATGCCAGTGAATCTTGAGTGACATACCTGGGTGCAGTGTGGTACACAATAATGAGTTAAATGGGCCAGTGGTCTAACTTGGTATATGGCAGGTCTCCATGTCAGAGTGCCTCTTGGTCTGAACCGGCATGGCCCCTGTTCTTCTGTCAGACATTTCCTCCAGAGCAACATCTCAAGCTTAACTGTACATGGACTCCATACAATCCAGAGAAGGCAAAAGAAAGATGGAGCCTTCCCTATGCTGGTGGCACAATTTTGAAAGCAGCTGTTCTGGAAATCTTGATTTTAGGTATCAGAAGAAGGAACTACTTTTCTCCTGTTAATTCGTAATGGCAGTTGTTAGCTGCACTGAAATTTATTCCACTTTTATGTTGGGCTAATGTTTAACATATTTTTGCCACTTTCTGTCACAGTAACTTGTCTCAAAGATTTTCAGTGCAATAGTTAGTGAAAGAATGTGAAAAGTAGACCCAATAAATAAATGCATAAATATTCATAGTGGAAGCCTATGTAGGTCTATTCTACTTATAGGTAAGCTCAAAAGAATACACAAAATGTGTATATGTGTATATCTCAAGCAGGGCATAGGGAAAAAATGCATGTAGTTAAAGAAATGCATGAAATGATTTATATGATGAGAAAATCATGCGCAAAAAGTGTTAATTGGAAAAACCATAAAATGTCAATATCTGAAAAGTTGGGGATATAGTAGGACCGTGGTATCTGCTGAGGATTGGTTTTAAGCCTTCTCCCCCTGTGGATGCCGAAAAGCACAGAACTAGTGAATGCTGTACACAGCACTGTCTCTGGTGGCTAGTTCTAGTAAATACACTGTAGAAATACATATTTATATGTGTTTCTGTGTTTTTTTAATTTAATATTTTCAGGCAGCAGATAAGTGAATCTGTGGATGCTGCTCCAACAGATAGGAGAATCCTATTGTATTTTGAAAAATGAGTACAAAAATGCATAGAAATGTTCATGAATACTGAAATGAAAATGATTCAATGCATAACCAGGATGCATCATATGCAACAGTGGGGAAAAAGAGAACCTCAATAAAATTAGACCTAAAAGCTCAAGAAATCTTATAAATGTACATACCGTAATTTATATACGTTATGCACATGATTTGATTTTTGTTTTTGTTAGCAATCGTGTCTCATCCTTTTCTGAACCACATTCTAATTTCTACAAGTTGTGATTACTAACAGAGAGCAATCACCTCACAGCCTTGTACCGGAAAGAAGAAACCATCAACATCTGGGACAATGGCCACATCGAAAGTCCTCGCTTCCCTCAAAGCTACCCCCGGAACCTCTTACTCACATGGAGGCTGCTTTCACCAGAGGACGCAAGGATACAGCTGGTGTTTGATCGTCAGTTTGGACTGGAAGAGCCAGAGAATGATATCTGCAGGTGAGTTGGAAGTTGGGGGGTGAGCTACATAAAATAAAATAAAAATGTTACACACCCGCCAAAGCATGGGGGAGGATTGCGAGCTAGACCAACTGTCTGCTCAGTGTATTGGAGGAACCTGTGGATGTCTCATCCACAGCTGCCTTAGCTGTAATTTTAAAATACAGAGGAGGAGCGGGATTTGTTCGTGATCAAGCCAGAGTGCAGGACACACAACAATGGGCTCAAGTTACAGAAAGCCAAGTTTTGGATGAATATCAGGAAATTTTTCCTATCTGTTAGAGCAGTATGAGAGTGGAACCTATTATCTCGAGAGGTGGTGATTGCTCCATCACTGGAGGCATTCAAGGGAAACTTAGACAACCGCCTGGGATATGTATCCTTTGATTTGTATGGAAAGGTGCGTCTTATGGAGCAAAAAATACGGGTATGTATCCTTTGATTTATAATACTGCATCAAGCAGGGGATTGGACTTGATGGTCTTATAGGCCCCTTCCAACTTCACTATTCTATGATTCTATGAAAACATCGACTCAAATATTGCCAACATCTTTCCTGACTTTCATCTAAGAAAGAAGTATCTGGCGAAATCCATCTTGCCAAGAATTTTTGGACTTTACATCTAAGAATACCTTTCCTGGCAAAATCCATCTTGCCATTAACTTTCGAACTTCAAGTGTTTTAGACTGGTATAAACCTGACGAAGTGGCCTTGATTCACAAAAGCTTGTGTATTGTATGATTTTGTTTTAAGTGGTCTATAAAGGTAATGCCTATTTTTGATTTGTATTTTGTACTGACCACATGGATCTCGTTTTACTTCATTTCAGTGTAAGAATATGGCTCTGCATACACCAAAACCTAACTCATTCTCAGTTGGTTTGGTGTTATTTTTTACACAAACAGAAATGGCATCTTATGGATTTAAGTGCCTGCCAAAATAACATGTTTTCTTGACTTTCAGAAATAACTAGGGCTTGATGGTGAAGTGTCACCTGCTGAGCACAGAAAGGCAGTATAAAGGCTGGGTAAAAATATTGCTATGTAGATCCTTTCCAAAAAATAGAGTTGTGTTTCACTTAAAAGCACTTTTATGCACATGAGTGTCTTCCCATAAAATAAAACATGTTATAGCATTTCCCTAAATATATACATCTTTACACACCATGGCTCAAGATGCTAGAGTTTATACAAAGAAACAGATGAGACATCATCCTGCAACCGAAGCTGCTTTAAAAAGTAAAGGATATTTGATTATCCTCCAGTTAGATTTTGCAGCCCTGCAAGATGCAAATTAATTTCTTTTTGGTGGGTAATTGGTCTTTGGGAGATAAAGAATGGACATTATTTGCATGTTGATTGTAGAAACACAGACAGTTTTAAAGAATCAACAAAGATTTTTCTTCTTGTGTAATTATGAAGCTGCTGTCTTGTCTGTTTCAGCCCTCCCTCCCATTAGACAGAGTGAGGTGGTTGCCTCAGACAGCAGGTGCCAGCTGGTGGAAGCAAGAAATTGGGATAGTGAATTGTGTGGGAAATAACTGGGCCTGCACCCCCTAAGCTGCTTCTGATACAATGGAGGCTATTATCCTGCCACCAATGCAGAAATATGGGGATTTGAGTCTTATTGCCAGGGATAGACCTATGTGTGCATGGATTTTACATGACATAATTTTAAAAGGTGGACCTCTATGGGTCTGTGTGAGCAATAATAACAACAACTAAAGAAGAAGAAGCAAAGCAAAACAAAGGTTGTTAGCCGCCTAGAGTGGTCCTCGCTTGACCAGATAGGCGGGATATAAATAATATTAATTAAAAAACAACTTTGAGATATGCCATTCTTCTTTGGTGAGAAACAGACATTTGAAATAGCTCATGACTAGAAGAGAGAACTTCTTCATTAGCATGAGTTTGAGCATCTGAGTGTCACAGTAAGAGGCTCTCTTGTCTCCATACTGTGCAGACTAACTTGCATTGTTTGGTCATTGATCTTAGATATATAAGCATGGAATTTCCACAAAGTCTCATCCCTCAAACATGGAAATCTAGCCCCAATCTGCAACCTCTCTAATACCTGTTTCTAGAATGAGTCATACTGTTTTCCAGAATGGGCAGATGATGATAACTAATAACCTTAAAACAAGCACTCACAATATTCTAAAATTTCATTGGCTTACCACTTTTCTTTACCATAGGTGAGTGAGTAGCCAAGACTGTCCTATTTCCTGAGACAAGAGAAGAACTACTGATACCTTTCTTCTTTGATATTCCTTACGACCTCTCTCTCCTCTGCCTGCGCTGGTTGCCTCACTACCACCACCCACCCCCTTTGTTACTGCTCTTGCTACTGCTGCCCACGTATCACTAAGCATGTGTAGGTAGAAAGCAACACCAGCTGCCCACATCTTGCACAAATGCATAACTCTGAGAGGCTCCTTCGTCAGGACCAGGCATTTTGGGCAAAGTGGTTTATGAGACCCTCTATGCTAAGCAATGTCACAGCAGTAGCAGGAGGAGGCTGAACTACATCATCACATTAGCCAGAATGCAGTAGCTGCTTCCATCAACAGAAACAGGAGCAGGACATCCATGCTCTGCAGTCCTCCATATTCTCTAAAGGAGTGAAGAAATCTGGAGAGCAAGTCTTCACGGGACACAGAGGAGAAGAAAAAAAAGGTCCTGTTGCACTAGAACAGTGGTTTCTAACCTTGGGTCTCCAGATGGTCTTGGACTAAAAACCCCAGAAGCCATCGCCACTAGCTGTGCTGGCCAGGCGTTCTTGGAGTTGTAGTCCAAGAACATCTGGAGATACAAGGTTGGGAACCACTATTCTAAAGGACTAGTGCCAAGACGTGTTGTGGAAGTTGGGATATAGTAACACCTTGTTGATTGCTGGGAAATTGTTCTTTTTCATTTGCTTATAATTTTTTCCTAAATGTCATCTCCACTTTAAAAATTTGACTGGGGAGCTTTGTCTCTCTCTATGTGTTTCTGTCTCTGTCTCTCTCTCTCACACACACACACAGAGAGAGAATTTAAATATTTCTTGATCTGAGTATGTCCTGGGAAGGAAAAAGAAACACACAGATAAGCTTTCTTCCTAATTTCAAAGCAAACATACAGAGGACAGAACTTCTGTCTCATACCTCACCCTTCCTAGATCTGACAGGAGCCATCTCTCACACCCCTTTGTTGATCTCTCATCCCGACTCCAGATATGATTTTGTGGAAGTGGAAGACATCTCTGCCATCAGCACGTTGATCCGAGGCCGCTGGTGTGGATACAAAGAAGCTCCTCCAAGAATAACATCAAAAACAAACCAGCTGAAGATAACCTTCAAATCAGATGACTTCTTTGTGGCTAAACCTGGATTCAAGATTTATTATTCCCTTGTGGTAAGTCATATGCCAAGCTCTTTGAATAAAATGACTATTGAGCAGAAAAGCTTTGAAAGTGGGTGATTACCTTTGAGCAAAGAAAAATTAACTCATCATAAATATTTCCTTTCAGAAAAGATATATTTAGTGGAGATCAAAGTATGATTACCATTCTTTCATTAAGGAAGAACAGAAAGGGAGACTATAAACTGAAACCCGCCATTGTTCACTTTAATAAGCTGCCTCAGAAAGCCTGTTTGACTCTGGACAGAAGCAAGGATATTGACAAAGACTCAAGCCTTGTCTATATGGCTGGGCGCTAAATAGGGTTGATTACAAGTCTGGTATACCACTTGGTGAGATCCTCACATCCACATGGTATATAGACCTCAAGTGATCTATTTGGTCCACTTTTTTAAAGTGTTTGTCTATTAGGTATGTGTATTACAAGTGATATTTGAGAAAAGTATATTAAACATCTCTTAAAAGTCTTGTTAAGATCCTGCCACAGTCTAATACATATACCTAGCACACAAAGGCACTTCTTTCCCTTGTCTGAAAAAGGCAGTTGAGAAACTGCCACAGTGGCAAATTCAGATGTGAGTAGTTTTTTTACTGGCCCTTAAAGACAAGGGTAAGAAAATATTGTTTAAGAAAAAAATGGATGCAGTACATTTTTACTGCTGTAATGGAGGCTAAATATATAAATAATTTGCTTCCTCTTCCCCCCCCCCACTGATGAGCAGAGGAATTGTTTAATTAGCCAATATCCTAAACTGGCTCTATTAAGGTAATTCATGACATTAACAAATCAAAAAAAAGGGGGGGGGCTTTTGGTTCTCTCCCAACCATCACATGCTCTGGAAACACACCAAAAGAGAGCAATCCTACCCACACCATAAAAATAGAATCCCCTCAAATTGGCCAGAAAGGTGTAGGTAGACCATTCTGGAGGTGGGCTGGTTCAGATGCAGAGACAGGGCAGGGAAGCCCCCAGCACTGCCTTTGAGAGGGAAGCCACCAGAGAAGGTGGAAGAGGGAAGTGCACGCCGTGATCAGTGAGTGAGCAGGAGCTCTTTGTGAGTTAAAACTGCTGCTCTAGATGCATGAAGTACAGTATTCAAGCCATAAATTTCTGTACAAATAATCATGGCTATGGAGGTGAGAAGAGTGAAATGGGACTCCAAGAACAACCAGTGTATCATAAACATTGGTCATAAACTTTCCAAGGCCTGGCCAGGATAAACATCCTGACAATACAGACGGTTGCTCTTGAGTTGAATGCAAGATCAACGACTCGACAATGCCTTCAGAGATTATTCCCTTGTGAATCCAGATAAGATGCCCAGAGGTCATCCACAGTAAATGCTGCAGACACAATCACAGCTTGGAAAAGGAGTGCAGCCTTATTGGCTAGAAGATTCTGGGAGTTGTAGTCCACAAAAGTGACTGTTCCAAGCTCTGGATGGAGCCCTGTGTGCCTCAGCAGGATGTTAATTTGGCTCTGTAGTTTCACTCTAGAATGAATGGGGACTGTTCTGTGTTTGGAGTGGAGTTTTGTTTTTCCAAAATGGAGGATCAGACTTCATTGCTTTTACCACAAGAGAAAGCCTGGGGGAAACTGAATACCCTCAGATTTCTTGCTGAGCTCCATCTGAGAAGCTGCAGACCTTTCTTTGGCAACATACAAATTGGAAGGAGTTGCAGTTTAGCCAGCCCTAAGTCTGCCTAGCTTCCTGTTCAGAAGGAAACTCCCAGCTAACACTAGGGCAGAACAGGAAGTGTGTATGAGCTAGGCCTAGCTAAGCCTCAAAGCCTTCCAGTTTGGGCCTTTTCTCCCAGTTGAACCACATTTAGGTGTCTGTAAAATATATGTAAATCAGGAAAAATTTCCAGAATGAGGAATTGTGGGATTTGAAATCCAATAATCCCACTTTTTCTGCATGGTTCCTTCAGTAAGACCTGGCTGTAGGAGGTTGAACAGGTGCCTTGCCGTGTGAGAGCTGGACAGCATCACTTGAGCTGAACAAAGTGGCATGGAATGGGATGGAATGGAGCAGAGTTGAGTGGAGAGGAACAGGGCGTCAGGATGTGACTTAGGCTGTTCCCTCAAATGATGAGGCTGCAATGTTGTGGCAATTTTGGTGCTTGCACAGTATATGGGAGAACAATTCCCACAGGCAGTAGGAGACCTCGGGACACCACCTTACAGGGTTGTTTTCATGATCAAATGGGAAGGAGAAGGGTCTTCTGCCTTGAGCACTTTGGAGTACATGCATGGTATGGCTCTTATAGATATGATAAATACTGTATTCCTCCAGAGAAATATGTTTTTCCTTTAGTCTTCTGCCTTGAGCACTTTGGAGTACATGTATGGTATGGCTATTATAGATATGATAAATATTCCTCCAGAGAAATACGTTTTTCCTTTAAGCATAGACATTAGACTAAAGGCAAGGGTAGGTGGTACCCTGTTAGACCACTAAATAGTCACAGACAAATGCTAGCTTTCAGCCCATATGGACTTCCACTGAGAAGGATACTGTTTATTTGTGGATGCTGCCGAAAACATTGTATTTGTACTTTTGTAGCTGTCTAGTAGTGGTCTCATCACTTACCCTTGCCTTTGGAGTATGTACAAGGACCACATGGATTCCCCCCCCCTTTTGTTAGAAATGAGACTCTAACTGTTAGGCTTTCTGTCCCTTCTAAAGCTTCTGCATGGTTCTCCTTCCCACTTTGTGGTAACAGGCCGGTTGGATAGGTCAGGTTTGGAAAGCATGACTCACCCAAGATCACTTTGGGAGTTTCATGGCTCTGTGAACCCCAGTCAGCCAGTCTGGCTCCAGAAGTGCTACAACACCCTGGCCCTGTTAAAAGCCTGTGTCACCCACACCAGGGTGCTGTATATACACTTCAGAAAAATGGAAGGTCCTGAAAAATGTCATACCAGGCTTTGTTACAGTCATTCTGTGGAGTTGATCTAGCTGCTATGAGACGTTCACTAGAGCTGTTCTTATGCATTACGTTCTTCTACTGTATAAACCTTAATCTGAAGGCAATTTAGCAAAACAGCAATTTATGATGTTGCTTTCCCTGGAGTACCACCATGCATAAAAATTAAGCAATGCTGCATCCTGTGATATTTCCAGAGGACTGCTCTTACAATTAGTCAGCTTTATGAGAAAATGTGTGCAGCTAATGTAAGACCCCCGGGCTTAGGAAAAACAGCACATAACATTCCAGTGGAGCAGTAGAAAATTGATAGGCATGGTTGCTGAGCATTGATCATCCTGTCAGGAATGTGAACAGAAAGAATCTGTTGCCTCCTGGACAACCTCAGTGTAAGAGAGTGAAATGTTGCAATGCTGGTTGGGATATTCTTGAAGACAGGGTTTTAAAAAGGAATAGTCATGTATTCATTCGTTTGTTCGTTTAGTCGTGTCCGACTCTTCGTGACCCCATGGACCAGAGCACGCCAGGCCCTCCTATCTTCCACTGCCTCCCGGAGTTGTGTCAAATTCATGTTGGTTGCTTCGCAGACACTGTCCAGCCATCTCATCCTCGGTCGTCCCCTTCTCCTCTTGCCGTCGCACTTTCCTAACATCAAGGTCTTTTCCAGGGAGTCTTCTCTTCTCATGAGATGGCCAAAGTACTGGAGCCTCAGCTTCAGGATCTGTCCTTCCCGAGAGCACTCAGGGTTGATTTCCTTCAGAACGGATAGGTTTGTTCTCCTTGCAGTCCAGGGGATTCTCAAGAGCCTCCTCCCGCACCACAATTCAAAGGCATCAATTCTTCGGCGGTCTGCTTTCTTTATGGTCCAGCTCTCACTTCCATACATCACGACAGGAAAAACCATAGCTGTGACTATTCGGACTTTTGTTGGCAAGGTGATGTCTCTGCTTTTTAAGATGCTGTCAAGATTTGTCATTGCTTTCCTCCCAAGAAGCAGGCGTCTTTTAATTTCGGGGCTGCTGTCTCCATCTGCAGCGATCATGGAGCCCAGGAAGATAAAATCTGTCACTGCCTCCATATCTTCCCCTTCTATTTCCCAGGAGGTTATACATTCAATGCCATATTTTTATTTTCCAGTTAATTGCATAACTGACTGGATAGCTCAGTGGTTTAAATATCAGGCTGCTGAGTGAGCCGTTGGGAGTTCACTTCCCTAGAGAGATGAGCCAGCCTGTGTGACCTTGGGCAAGCTGCACAGTCCCACAATGCCTCCAGAAAAACGGAATGGTAGGCCACTTCTGTGTATTCTTTACCTATAAAACCCTGGAAGGGGTCACCATAGGTCAGAATCGATTTGACAGCATGCACAATAATTCACAAAATCAGAACTATATAAGAGAATGGAGGTGCCAACTCTGTCTTCTCCAGGAGAGCATCCGTCATTTTCCATATCATCCTTTACAAGATTGAGTTCAAAGGTCTTCCATGGCTCTGCTATTGAACAGGGCTGACTCTAGACATTCTGGTTCCTAGTTGTGAAGGCTACTAAGTGATTTCTCTGGGACAGTGACTCTATTCCAGGATTTAGTCTGAAATTTACAGAACAGGCTCAGCACCTTTCTCTTCAAAATAAAACCTGACATGCATGTTTTCTCCCCCGCAGAGAGGGAGTCACCAGCCTCCACGGTGCAAGAAACACAAGATGGCACCTCCTCATTCCATCTATATAGAATGGCAGATGAATTTTGCCAACAAACTGGCTTCATAGCATGTCCTTGATTGCATATGAGGGCAACAGGCTAGCTTGTCAGGCAGGATGACTGGTGTACACACACCTCACCCCTCTGATTCCTTCCGGTGACTTCCCTCACCCCATTCTCTGCTGCCTGAGTCAGCTGCTTCACTCTGCCAAATGAAAGGACTGGCCCTGAATGTCAAACACATTTTCTTTCTGTCTTGTCTCAGTGGTAGAGCTAACAGCATCTTCTTCCTTCCTTTTCTCCCTCGTCATCGCAACGTGCCTAACCTAATATGGATGGCCTTGTCTCAAATAAGCCATTATC